TGTTGATATTGCACATATCAGGAAATTGCTGTGAAATTTCAATTACATTCATACTTGTATCAATCTATTCTGAGAAAATCTAGAGCCCTTTCCTAATTGTCCATCCAGAGCTGCAGTTCTGCGTCTAACAGTGTTCAGATTATCATCTATTATGTCTGTAAAAAACTATAAGAAACTTCCTGAATGAACTCTTTAATTAGTTGTAAATGCAGTACTCTCCTTTGTACTTTTGTGTTGCAATCTTATTTAGTCTGGCAAATAAGCGTAACTAGCTTTAGCCTGCCATCTGCTAATATTTTCCACTTTCTGAATTAGATGAGATGACGTAGTTGGAGACAACTTTAGTCTGGCAGTATCTTTCTTTTCCAAAGGTCAATTGTTAGACCTTGAGCCGCCTATTATAATAGCTGATAGGAAAAGGTGCAGCTTTCATACTGGAGGGGCTGCAGGCTGCTTGGGTAGTTGTTGTTAAGCTGCTATCCACATAGTCTGGATGTGTAACAAATAGCATCTCTTGAAATAGCTCCAGCCAATGACCTGAACATTATTATTAGTGGTAATTGTACCACAGGTATATGGTGGAAAAATTAATTCAATTTTGTGTTCTCAGGTCGTGAATAATTTAGCTGTTAGTGGAAACATAGAAATAGATCATTTACCACAATATGGAAAAGATATAACAGCTGGAATATAATTTGTGACTTTCAATTTCCTGTTTTTCAGCAATAACAGGAATATGACCAGCCCGAGATAAAATGCAGTAACCTGTTATATCCACTGAGAGGAAAATCCAGGGAAATATCTGTTACAGAAATTTACCTTACGTTTCGATAATTGTATTTAAGAAATGAAATAAGATACTGGTTCTATTATTAGATATAAAAATTGACAACCACTTTCACCAACAAAATTCATAGTTACTTCACTTTGCAGTCTATCCGGCGCTTTGAGACATCCTCCTGATTTGAAAGGTGTTATATCAATGTAAATAATATTGTATGGATACTGTGAAACACTTGGAGACATCTTCCTGACGTGAAAGGTGCTGTATCAGTTGCAAGGATTATCATTATATTTAATGTAAGAAATGCACTCTTTCTTTAAATCTGTACAGTCATTGTAACACAAAGCGGACAGCTACTGAGAGCAAAGATGTATGAATCCACCTTTCATTTAATTCATGAAGAAGCAAGGAGTGACAGTAAAAAATGGAGTTTATGTTTTATTATCTGCCTTCACGCTTGGAGAGAAATGTGAATATTCTTTATAATTATCTTGTGATATTTGGAGGGGAAAGAATCTGTCCCATAACTGCCTTATGTAATATTTGCAATTATATTTTAATAATTCTGAGCACAATTATTTTCACGTTAAAGGTTGCCGTATTTAATAGCAGTTTTCTTTCAATTTCATGAGCATATTCCTTTCTGATTACGAGATCAAAAACATTGTAAACCTTCATAATTTGCCCCACTGCAGGAATGAAATCAGCTCTTCGGGTTGAAAGCGGTTTACCCTGTATTTCAGCACATCAAAAAAGTACTCCGGAAAAGCTGATGCGAAATAAAAATTAAATATTAATTTTAAATATGCAAGAAAAGAATTCAGCATCCCATTCAAAATAATATTCTGAAACAAACTCAGAAATTGTACGCAGCCATGGCAACCATTCTACTGTTTCAGTTATGGAGGCAAATTAACCTATTGAGAAATGTTACGGTATTTTAGTGCAAAAATAATAACTATAAATAGTTTTATTTTACTTTGTTTTATTTGGAGCACATTATAACCCACACAAAGGTCTCTACTTTATTTTTCTGCTTATTATTTAGCATCTAAAATAAAATACCAACAGATTATTTTTGCAGATGTTTCATTCCAAAACATGGACTTGGATATTTGTTAATAAAAATCTGCTGTAACATGCTGTCATCCTCAAAATAGGAAAATTCTTTCAGTCAGTGCAGATGTTGGTGCTGGCAAAGTCTGGCTTGGAAAGAAGGCAAATAGAAAGTGCTACATGTGTTCTTTGCCTGCAGTGTCTGTTTGCTGTTTGAACACCTGAATAAAGTTTTATTCTACAACTGAGCACCTTTATTAGCGTTTCTTAAGAAAATTATTTTCTTTTCTGGGGAATTTGTTTGGATTGAACCAAGACCTTCCTCTTCGACCGTGACTACGGTCACCTTCCACCTCCCCCTGGCTTGATGTCATCACTGTCAAGCACTCTGGGATGCCCACCTGCATGAGGGATGCTACATAAATGCAAGTTGTTGTGGTTGTGTTCCAGGTGGGAAGGTGTTTGTCCAGGATAGGGGGCTCCTGGGCCGATGGCTCCACAGGTTCCAGATGTTCACAGTTCGCAGAGCTTCCTGGTTGTCTGCTACAGGTTCAAAAAACAGATTCAGACCTTCCTGGAGTCAGTCGACATGTTTCAGTGTCAAACCTTAGCCATCTGCTTACACACGAGTAGCCTGCATCAGAATAGGAGAGGCCGGTACAATCTCCTGTACCGAGTATACCACATCCCACACAAATTGTCTAAATGTCAGTCTGTCCAAACACTCAAACCTGGCAACAGTCCAGCCAAACAAGAATATTATTATAATCCCTTGGAGGTGACACAATTGATATTCCCTGAGACAAACAAGTGGACAGGCATCTATGGGACATCTGTACATCTGTACACATGAGTGAGTGAGTGAGTGAGTGAGTGAGTGAGTGAGTGAGTGAGTGAGTGAGTGAGGCAGATACTGTGTTTAGAATTGCGAAAACAGCCACAGATATACACGTTCCTTCAGGCCTACTGCATGCCTGACCCCATCACAATTCTGGATAGGCACAGTCAAAATGAATTGCAGATTTTGACTAAATACATGGGCACTGAGGCCTTTGAGAGCCTAAGAGAATGAAGGTGGTTTGGGGGAGGGAAGAACTAAAGACCTTGAAGCAATAAAAATGCATTGGGGCATATCCATCAAATAAAAATTAAAAACAGAGCAACTGTTGTAATGCCCTGTCTCACCCTGTCTCATCCGAGATCAATCGGGTATTTAAGATGATAAAGGGATTTGATACGGTAGATACAGAGAAGCTATTTTCTCTGGTGGGGGAATCCAAAACAAGGGGCATAATCTTAAAATTAGAACCAGGTCATTTAAGAGTGAAATCAGGAAGCACTTTTTCACTCAAAGGGTGGCAGAAATCTGGAATTCTCTCCCCCAAAAGGCCGTGAATGCTGGATCCATCCACAGCTTCGAGAGTGAGGTTGACAGAGTTTTGGTAGGTCAGGGTATTAAGGGATATGGAGAGAAAGAGGGAAATTGGAATTGAAAGGATTAGTCGAGGTACAGATCAGCCATGATCTAATTAAATGGCGGAACAGGCTCCTATGTTCCTACGATCCACTGTTTCTGTTAAGTGCTTTATTTTTACATTGTACAATTTGGTTAACAGCAGTGATACTTTTCCCTTTACTGATACCTCTCCATGTTAAAGGAAAGTTTGGAACTGACTCATACCTTACATGCCGATTCTCCCTCGCTCAAATGTAAGTAGTAGATTCCCTCCTTCCAATATGGTACCAAGGAAAATAGCAGCCTCAGCAATAGGCCTTTGGCACCAAATCTCCTGGGCCAGTATAACTAGCATTTACACAGATATGCCACGGGTTGAGATTAGGGCTAAAACACTGCTTATGTTAAGTCATTTCATTTTATTCTCTTGTAAGTCTTTGTGTAGTGCAGAGGAGGGAGCAAGTACACTGACGTTTTTAACACAACACACGGGCAAGTGTGATTAAGCAGCTCTTGAATCACAATCTATCCTGTACTATTAATTTTTATGAATATAAATAATACTAAATATGTAGCTGATGTATCTTGACATTTTAAAATATGTTCCTCTGCACACACTAGACCAGGCGTGGAATGTTCAGTCTTATATCACTGTCGGAATGGTATTAGACCAGATGGTTGATTCATTGTAGAATCAAGAAGCAAGATAATTTATGCAGTTCTGTATTATTGCATTCTGTGAATTCAAAGAGTTCATGGCGGGCATACATGTAAAAGCTGCTCCTTTTCTGCAGTCAAACATCAATAAGAAAAGGTTAGAGACTGACTAAGTATTTATAGCGTGCCCTGAAGGATTCCTCGATCCCTTTCTATTAAATTAGAAACCAAATGATTTGCATTTAATTAACCCATAAAATATCTTTTTGTGCCATTTAAAGAAACATATGCTGCTTCTGATTCTTTATCTTCTGCACTGAACATCACTGATAAGGAACTAAGCACAGAAACTGATAGAAAAGTGCGTTGGGTTGATCAACATTCGAAAGACAGATAGCTTGACATTTTGGGAGGAACTCGTCAACAGAACAGATGCTAATAGATCTAGTATTTTCTGTTTTTATTTCAGATATCCAACTCTTTTTGGGGGGTGCCTACTATTGGTGAAAAAGCATTCGTGTTTTACTTAGTGCTCAGTGCAATCCCAGTATTCAGCTGTCCATTCCACTGTGTACTTTATACCTAAGCTCATGAAATGTCTCAGTGAGTGTCATCATTGTTTCCGAATTGTTATTTTACAAATAACTTGGTTTTGCATATCTGCCAAGCACTGTTTGTCTGCTTCGTTGCTTGTGGAACGCTCCAGGATTTCACTGAGTGTTGAAAGAAGCCAATGATAAATAGACTTGTGTCCATCAGGGAGATATTTTGTACAGATGAAAGTGCCAGCAGAATGCTTTTAGGAGATTTATCTTTGTGCAAATAGAAACTGATTGTGTTGTGAAAGCTACACAGGGAAAGAGTTACTTATGCTGTTAATGAATTAATTGAACACAAAGACGAAAAAATAATAATCGCACAATTTAACATTATCTATTCAAAATTACTGCAATGTTGTAACATGAGATGTATAATGGGTCATTTTATGATCAGTCGAAAATTACTGTATTCATTTTCATTTTGTCTTTGTTCATTTTTTTTCCCGAGGTTCTTCTGGAGATGCCCTCTGGCTGTTCTGAGAGAAGGTTTCTGTCTGACGAGGAGAATCGTTCATATGCAGAAAGCATCATTGGCATAATATGCTGTGGAAATTTTGGCTCCGAGTGAAATGAGTTCCCCAGATTGCACCAGTCTGATGGTTTTGATTTGAACACTTGGAGACCCAGGTCCTTTCTGGAAGACCATTACTATTCAAGTGTGATGTGGAATGAATGCAAATCATAGATGTCATGGGAAAAAAAACAGGAGCTATAAAGATATAAAGATCATGTATTTGCTGTTTGTGATTTTATGGGGTAAAGAGTTCAAGACTATTACGGCGTGATTTTGTGTGTGCGTCTCGAATTGATTACGCACAATTTGGTTCCAAACTTATTTGGGTCACAGGAGTGCATACATAAAGTACGGTGCGCTGGTGTTGGAGATTAATAATCCCCAGTCAGTTCGAATCTAGCCACGAGTTGACAATCAGGGTCCTTGCACACTGCATTTCACCACTTGTTAAGCAGAACACTTGGTGGCAGTGGAGCACTCCATCTCTGAAAGGAGGAAAAACTGACAGGAACCATCCCATACATCAGAAGTGCACCTCCTGTCAGCTGCTCATGGTGTGGCACTGAGGGTGATCATGAAAATGTCTGCAAACCAGACTGGTCCACTGAAGGAGGAAGTCTGCTAGTGGGTGGTGGCAGGGGAGCCTGTAGGGGGTAAAATGGGGGGAAGTATGATGCAGTGCAAAGACCCCATTATTAAGAAAAAGTACTGTTTCACATTTAAAATAACAAGACAGTTTAAGGGAGTTAGGGGACTTAAGTATGACATATAGACTGCCTAGACTGGTAGATACTGAATAATGAGGTGTAAAACTGACCTGTTTGGAAGGACAATTAACAAATTCGCATTTGGAAACGAGAGAATTGGGACCATTAATCTGCTGCTGAAGTGTGCATTGTGAGTACAAACTGAAAGCAATACAGTTAAATACTGTATATTCGAAAAGGATTCTTATAAATATAACAAAACAGGTTTCCTCAGAAATGTATTGGGAAGGAATGCTGTATTCCTAAGCAATATTAACAGTAAATTCAATTAGGTAAGCAAATGCTGATTGGAAAGATTAAAACATGCATATTGTCTCGAATGTTTAAAAAAGTAAAGTAATGATTGTTGAGTATTGCAGAGAAGAGTAAATTGCGTCTGCTTTGTGTTCAAAAGAGAACAGTGAAGGCAGATCTTATACTGAAGTGGGAGAAAGCACTTCTCTTCTCAAAGGTTCTCTATATTTAAACACATCATTTTATACATGCATTTCAATAATAGTTCTGACTTGCAATACCTCTTGCGTTAAATCCTACTGATTAAACCATATTAAAGAACCTTAGACTTTGAAAAGAATTCCTTGTCCCTATAAATTAGGATTAATAAACCAAGCCTAGAATATGTCCGTTTCTATTAAATCCTGAGGTGTTCTGTTTTCAGGTTTAAATAAATATTAATTGTCTGAGATGTACTTAAATATGAAAGAGGAAGTTATTCACCCTTTGAGTGTGCTTCCCATGCAATCACCCTTCCATGTGAGCTGTGCCTCCCTGCTACAGCTGTGTTCAGTCAAGTGAGACTTTAATTTGCTGCACAGTGCCACAGTATTAATAGACAATTATTTATAGCAAACGCGGTCCATTTATACTCTTTTATTAGCTGACATGGTTGAGAATTCGGATCCAAATGTTAATGTATTCATGACACTGCAGAATTTCATTTTGCAACAGATTTAAAAAATTGGCCTACCCTTTTGCATGAAAATGTGTGTGTGGGGTGGAAGGTGGATATTATTGTTTTAAAATGGTTCCTTTCTACACACTGGAGCATCTTGACAAATTACAATGAAACCATAAATGAAACAGGAATGTCTGTTGAAGCGCTTCTGAGATCAGAGCTTGAATATGTTAAAAACAAATAACAGATGCTTTTCACCTCGTCTTCCTCCCAAATCTCCCTGTTTCAATTGTATTCTCTGTAATCCCAACATACTTATGAACTGCGATTCTCTGCATTTGCACAGCTCCTTATTCACTACACTGTTTTTGGATAATATTATATTTTAAAGAAACTTTCCTTCCTGGCTCATGGCTCCACAGCTATATAAAAAAAATCAATTGAGCAATGTAAAATACTTCCCAGGCCCTGTGAAACTGCCTTAATGGTCATCCTTTATTTAAAAGAAACAAAAGTATAAATCCTAAAGGTTAGGAATAATTACCAAATGTACTATTTTGCACATCCTGGTGCAGACTGGAGGTGATACAATGACTGAAGCACAATCCTGCACAAACATTGAATAGAGACATGCCAATTCTGTAAAGCCAGCTTTACCGGAGGATTATTTGCCATTTACTCCAATCACCAATCAAATAAACAGTTCACTAAAACCACCAAATCTACTCTAATAATCATGTTTATTAGGAACTATGATAAATGTTCCTTGTGATAGACTCAAGAGAAGCTTTTCAGACACTGAAAAAAAGAGAGCCAAGTTACAACTCGATTTATTTTGTTATCAAATTAAGTTGATAACATGTCAGTAAATGTAGCATTGAATATTAGCAACTTAAAAGGTATTGAAGTTTTCTGTTGTATGGCAATAGCAGTGAACTTAGCTTTGATATTCTGAAATAATTTAACATTCCAGTGACCTGATTTTGAAAGATGAAAATATAATATGCTCCCATGACAATGTACAATCTCCAGCACATACTTGGAACATCCAACAGTTTTGTTAGCTTCTTTTGTTAGCATTTCACAGCATTTTTATTTTGGACTATTCTTAAATCGAGTGTTGATGTTCAAGCTGATTTTCTGTTAAATCTGCACAGTCTGAAACCCAAAGAAGAAAATCAAAGACTGATCCCAGGGCGGAATTTCTGCCCACAAATTCAAAGTCAATATTGATTTAATTTGGTTGGTGCTTTACCTCGCTGTGCTCGATATGGATATATGCAGCAAGTAATGAATAACTTTTTCTTTCAAAAATATAGCCCCTGATCTCATTCCGTTACACCCACGGCTAATAACAGAGAGTGTCAATATCATGGAATCTGCTCACATTGAGATGCTCAAAAATTGCCTCGCTGCACATGTAGAACTCAGGTTAGTGTGTATAATACACCCTGCTGAGAACCGGCAGTGCAATTGGGACTACTTCAATACACTGGCACAGGATACCCAGAGCCCTGGATCAAGCCACCAGTAGTCAGTACAAACATGGCACTGATTTCATTATCCGTGTAAACCAATGGGGAGCAATAAATGTGTTTCAAATTCGATTGCATTTCCTTTCTTGGCTCCCACAGTAACATACATATGCAGCTGTGTCAAAGACGGTGTTTGTACTTCAGTGCCAGCAATAACATTAGAATAAAGCTCGAATTCATCTGCATTTTTCGTCACTTTTCAAAAAAAATTAGTCAACCGGGAGTCTGACACACGCATAGACCTCATGCCGTGCTCAAGAATCTCTCAACCTAGCTGCCGAGATCCCATAAAAGCAAAAATTTTTGTTTTTCTAGTTCTGCCGTGCGTATTCTCTCTCCCTGGGGACCTGGCGATATATACTACACTACACTTTGATCAGAGAACACAAGTACAGAAGCAAAAGCATTTAGGGACGTAAGAATGTACATTGTGGTACCGTTGAAATAGAACCAACTGATATTGTACATTGGTGCAAGGCACTCACAAACTTCCTTCTGTTTGTCCAGTTAGGACCATACCATCCATTAAGACACTGATTTACAGGATTATCCGAGTGGCAAGAATTCAGTCCTCTACTTTGCATATCTGTCCCTCTCGTTCCTAGTAAAAAAAAGCTAGGTGGTTTGGTGAACCAATAATAATGTCCTGCATGTAGCCATTAGTTCACCAAGTCCACACCTGGTCAATGAATGGCAGCCAAAGCTGCAGTATTCCAGCTGTTGGTCGGCAGGCATTTGACATGTACCAATTTGAGCTCTTGTTAGATGTTTAGCTGGCATGTAGCATTTCTCCATTGCAGTATGGTAAACAATTAGACTTTGTGAATGCATCAACAACCACTCTCCAGAACAAGACCAGGACACAATCTTATATCCAGAAAATAATGACAGTATACCAATCTGAACCTTGTCATTCTAGAGATCCAGTGTCATATACCAGGCTTACCATACATAACTGGTTAATAATAATCCAGTCATTAGATTACTCGACTGGTTATATGCAGCATGTGTCAAAATGTAAATGACTTTGTCGCAGTTTTGTATAAAATACTTTCATTTCATAAATATTTGTCTGGTCAAAAGTGTAACTTTCCAGTCAATCATTTTGAGGGATGTGTCTGTGTGTGTGTTTCCCTCAAGAGGCCAACAAAGTGCCCACAATGGTGTGATAAAATAAATAAAGCAAAGGACAGGCGTGGGTCACTATCATTGGGTACTTCAATACCAACACAATTTGTCAGGGAAGGCTTTGGGATTTTCTCTCCAGACACATATCTTAATATCTGTGTTCTGGACACTCTTTACTGTGTTTCTGTGTTCTATTGTCCCTGTAAAGGTTTTTTGAGATGACTTTCCTAAGTAAAACACATAATAGAAATGCAAATTATTGCTTTTGTTACAGTAATTTTACAGCAAAGTGAATAGGTTCATTTTCAGCCCTGGTACTAAGCTGGAGTCCCTAATGCTTTTCACAACCCCTATTCTTAAAATGATTTACTATTCTGATGTGCACTTAGTTCAGGTACTGACTGGTTTATACTATTCGTAATGTTTATTCACTTTAAAACAACACAGTTAACAAAAAGAGTTACCCGAGTCTATGGGAAGAAGTTAAATCTTGGAGTAAAATTTACTGTGCTTTTTAACCCATTCCTTGTGCTAATTAATACAAGGAATGGGTTGAAATTACAGTACAGATTTTACCTCCTTATCTCCTTTGGAATTATGCCAAAGTGTCATTTAAAGTGTGTACTTCTGTTTCCTTTATAAACAACTCCAGTAGAAGTTATTATTTCCTGTTAATTTTAACAATATACTTTTCGAATCCTTAAAAGATGATGATGAAAAAAAATGTTGCAGGCTGCCAAAGCCACTCAGCGATCACATCTTTCTGCTGTTCCACCTATTCTGGCAAATAAAGCATTACATCACACTATTCTGGCAGATTCCCATTAAAAATAATAAGGTCAAAAGGTGGGCTGTGAAAACCTGAGCCACCCAGAGAGTGCACACAAGGTGCTTAAATAACATATTCATGTTA